TCCCTACTTATTCCTTGCCCTTGTCCTCATCTCTCTATGGAAGATCAATGACCTCCTGAGACTGAGTGGGACAGAGAAAATCCAAGGAAATGCAAAAGCCAACAATTGTTGAAGGAACATGTTAATTTGATGTTGAAGGAACATGTTAATTCGATGAAAATTTCTTCAGATACGTAGAGCCTTCCCTTTCCATTCCTCCTCTTTCTTTCCTCTCTGCTCCCTGTCTCCCACATGGGAGACTGAGACTCACGTGCATCATTCAGTAAGAGCAGGGATCTGACCCTAGCTCTCCTCTCTACCCACAGACACTAACCAATACACTGCACTGTTTTGCAGCATTTGTGTCATGGTTTAACCTCAGCCAACGGGATGGGGGAGCGAATCAGAAGGGTAAAAGCTACAAAAACTCATGGGTTGAGATAAAGACAGTTTAATAGAGAAAGAAAAAGCTGCACACTCAAGCAAATCAAAACAAGGAATTAATTCACTGCTTCCCAAAGACAGGAGGTGTTTAGCCATCTCCAGGAGAGCAGGGACCATCACTCATAACGGTTCCTTGGGAAGACAAACGCCATCACTCCAGATGTTCCCCTTCCTCCTTCTTCCTCCCACCTGATATACTGAGCATGATGTCATATGGTATGGAATATCCCTTTGGTCAGTTTGGGTCACCTGTCCCAGCTGTGTCTCCTCCCAATCTCCCATGCATCCCCAGCTTCCTTGCCAGTGTGGCAGTACGGAAAGCAGCAAAGGCCTTGACTCTGTGTAAGCTCCGCTCAGCAATAACAAAAACATCTCTGCATTATCAACTCTGTGTTCTGCACAAAACCCAAACATAGCTCCATACTAGCCTCTGTGAAGAAAGTTAACTCTACTTCAGCTCAAACCAGCACAATTTGTCTCTTGTTCTCTATAAAATAAAGCTCTGTGCTTGGTGTGTAATTAATAAAATATTTTTTTTTAAAAAAAGGTACTTTCATGGAATAGGAAGCCAGCTTTGTGTCCTCTTCCACTTTAAAGAATTTCATACAATTTTCTTGGTCAGCATAGAAAAGAAAACATTTCTATTTGCCAGCATGTAATTCACCTGGAGATTACACCAAAACATAGGAATGAGAAAACTGGTTTGGACATATATCAGAGGCCAAAATCCTCAGATCAATTTTCAGATGGAGTTTGAATTGGACATTTAATATACAGTGAAGCACAACTATGAAAAGTTAACTCTATTTTCTAAATAACTGCTGTTCTCATTTGTTCAGGATAAACCCAATCAACAACCCCTGGGCCCTAGTCATCATCAACAACATGTTCATGTAGTTAGGAAGTGTCTGCAGGAATACTGAGACACAGAGGGAGGGGAGGTAGCATATGATACCATTTAGAAGAACAGTAATGTGGTGTACATTAATTCAAGAAGGAAAAGTCCTTATTACAGTATCTAATGCATTATTTAATGGAGTCTGTTTCATCTGTTTCTTAAAAGTTAGCTTGACAACACAAGACAAAATCCTTGAGATCAGATGTGTTAAACAGATTAACTGATGTGGTATTTGCATCACATTACCACTTCAGATTGAGGCTCTACCCTCCTTGCACCACCTTGCCCTACTCAAACTGCACAACATCACTGTTTTCTACAGCATTTCACTGAAAAAGAATCATACTTATATCTCACCTCAATTATGCATGTTTGATATTTTCACAGAAGTTGCTATACTGCAGATTTTCCATGCTTTTGTATATATTTTTAGTTATTTTATTAGTGACATCAGAAATGTAGTGCAATTTGGACAGCTAGCCTGTCCCACCCACAGGTGGCTGTGGCTGCAGTGACAGAAGTGGCAGACTTTAGGCTATCGTCTGTTTTGGAAAGTAGGACTCTGGGTGCAAGAAGCATTAGACTTTGTTAACTCTGGCTTCTAATCATATCACAGTGATTATTTAAACAATGTATGATAGCCAGCACAACTAACTTTTTTTCTGAGTATGTGATTCAGGGCTGAGGGCAAGGAATCAATCAAAGGAAAATAAATAAGACAATTTTGCCTGCTGAAATGATCTAGAGCCTGGATGGGGCTTTGAATGACATTGTATAGAAGGTGATGTCAGAAATAAACTAATGCTTGTCAGCAAGATGTTAAAAAAATAAAAGAAGTTTCTAAATGGAAAGCAGACCCTGCAGAAGTCCATGAGATTTCATCAAGGATACCTCAGCAGCAGCTGACATTTGCTTTTGTCCTGAAGAACAACTGTCCTCTTTCGTCTGTTGCACAGACATGACTTCAGAAGTGCATGGGTCAGGACGAGGCAAATGCAGAGCTTAATTAAAACCATTAAGGCAATTTGTTCCTCATTGACTAGTGCAGTAACTTTTAAATGCAAGAATGATAAAAAGCAAAAAGCCAAAGAAAGATATAACTCTTGCTGTTATTTAGAAAGTTTGAAAAATTAAATTGTAGTTAAGTAATAATTTATCTAAACTGATTGAGCCTTTGCATGAAGAATAAAGAATATTTTCATAGTCTAACAGTTCATAACTCTGTTTTGGGTAGCACTAAATTTAAGTTCATGTGTTTCTTTCTCTTTCTTCAGTGATGTACTGAATCCATGATAGGGCACTAAAACCTGTAGAGGATAAGACTAAGATGGCCTAATCACCAGACTGATACACAATGTATTGTGTTTTTTACAGTGGTGAAGAATCTATTATAAGTTCAGTATCCAAATCCTGTAACTACATGCTGTACTACAGCAGGCAGATTTGAAGAGTAGGGCTGAGGAATTTCCTCCATCTTTTACTTGCTATTATTTCGTAATTTCTTTGAGTTGAATATATGGCTTCAGATAGGTAATCTTCAAGCAGTTTTAAAAATGTACAAATTAAATGTCTGCTTCAACAAAAGCATTTTGAAATGTTTAACATAAAAATGACAGATTGTAGATGGAGATCGTTGTTACAATCAAAATAAAATGTCAAGATCTACAAGATGGCACAATAATGCCAGATTATCTAACAGAATCTAAATACATTTGCCATTTGGCACTGGTTACAGAGAAGGGTGGAAAGAAGTTTCTTTTCACAGCTATGCTTCCTTTGGCTCATACAGATACAGTCAATTGTTTAATCAAACTGCCTCTGCAGCTTTGTCCTTTGCTGAGAAGGGCGATTTGCATGCAACTTATACATGTACTCAAGAAACTAGTGACTCTTGGCAACTTTCCTGAGATAAACATATGATGAGTTTACCCACAGAACAGCCTGGATACGACACAAAACCTGAAACGTGTCTGTTTATCTCTGTCCTTCAGGATCATTGGCTTTGCTTAATCCAGAAAATCATTGATCTGCCCACAGCCAGATTGGGCACTTTAGCTATTTTCTTTAAATTTTATCCTTCAAGAACAGACATTTCCTTTTGCATCATTCCTACTTAATAACATTCTGAATGTTACTGACATTGACTCACATCACTGAGATTGTTGATGGCAAAACACAAGGAGATTTGAACATATTTGGTACTTACAGACTTCATACAGTTACATTTACTAAAAAAATCCCTGGTTATCCAGGCCATTTCTCTGATTTTGTGTGAGTGCAATTGTTTTACTAGTGCAGCAAGAGACACTGTTGATGGTGGCCCAGGCCACCCTTGTACTTCCCCAGGGCTCAGATGAAGCTTGGACCCAATGGCTAACAAGTGCTCCTTGTACTGTTAAACTGAAGACTCATTTGCCTATCCGGGTTGGGTTTTTTTTTCAAGTGTCAAGAATAGCTTTTATTTTAGAGGCTGCATTACACGTCCTCAGCACCACCTCCCTGGGCACATCTCACTGCCCTCAGAGCGCCCAGATAAATCCTATCTGGTTAAAGTGCTTCAGAGCAGCTGAGCGGAAACCTCCATTATGGATGCTTCAGTACTTGCTACTGGCAAAGTGACAGGAGAATGATGACTCATGAAAGGCAAACTTCTCTGAAGCTACGCATCCCTCAGAGAAATCAACTTTCAGCAGCATTTGCCTGGGCAATGTTATCTTAAAGAAGCTGTTTTGCAAGACTTGCTTGCTTTTATCTTTCCTGATGTCTTTCAAAAACAGGGTTTCTTCATAAACTGGCAGAGTTGTCCATCCTCCTTGAAGCCAAATTGCTCCCAACTGGCAGACAAAAATATAAACAATAAAATTAATCTCCCCATGTAGCACTTGCAAGTTTAGAAATATAGTTACACAGTGGTTTAGAGGAGCCTTCCTTCAGGTTATAATTGCATTCTTTCATTTATTAAATATTTATATTTATTATATAAATTCACCTCTCTGTTGAATAGATGTCTTTCTGTGTTAAACAGGCCCAAGTGACATCCCCCAGTCTGCTCCAGAAACAATAATAACCTGCAGGACACACTTGGGATAGCTTATGACTTCAACAGAGAACAGAATATCTGACAAAGGAAAGCCACACACATAGTCTCTCTTTGAGTTGAAAGGTGGTTTCAGTGAGTCAAAACATAGCAAATATTCAAAGCCAGGTTGGATAAAACATTGAGCAACTGGGTCTAGTGGGAGGTATCCCTGGCCATGGCTGGTGAATTGGGACTAGATGACCTCTAAGGTCCATTCCAACCCTTTAACATACTGTGAAACTATCAAGCAAATAATGAACAAGGGCACACGTATTC